GAGTAGTTAATCTTACAGTCCAGGAACAGAGAACCCTAGGACCATCACTGGAGAAGAGCATGAGCGGAATGCGGGACCCTATCCAGAGAAGCAGCAACACCAGAGATGTAGGAAGAGAAGAGGACATGGAGAGATAGAGTAGCTGAGGACTCTAGACTCATGGAAAAGAGAAAGGCTGTGTGCTGGCGGCCAGGTGGCAGGCTTTCAGGATGTGCACTTGGGTTTAAATAATTATATATCCCTGAGTGTTTTTGTATACATCAAAAAAAAAAAAAGAAAGAAACAGGGAATAGAAGTAAATATTGTTGAATGATGATGCATTGAGAGGATTGTAATCATTGCAATGAAACAAAATTTGATACAATGAATGCATAACAGCTGTTCTCCCATGTAAACTATCACTCAATTCACAATAAAAGCTTAAAAAAAAAAAATACAAGAAAAACAAAACAAAAAAACAGTGGCTTCCAAGATGATCTTCTGGGCCAGTTGAATTCAAAACAAAGAGGTCAGCTCAGAAGGTATGGCGACTTTCGGGGGAATCCCAAAGAGGTAATGTGGATTTTCTCAAAGGACACAGTTGACTACAGAAGCTTATCATAAATACATTTTTTAAAAATTGAAAACTGCACTGGTGAGAAAAAGACCAGAAAAGTTGCACTGAGGAATTTTTTTCATCACAACAATGCACCTGCTATTCATCCAGGGTAGCAAGGACAGTTCAATGAGAAGCCATTCAAAAGCCTTCCTTCATCCACCTGACAGCCCTGATCTTGCCCAATTCAAACTGTTTTTTGTTCCCCAAACTCAAAGGAACATGATTTGGGTCCCTTGAGGATACCAAAACTGCCATTTTGACATGATGTGAATCAAAGCGCACACGAATTCTTTGAGGGGAGGGTTGTTGTTGTTGTTGTTAGGTGCCATCAAGTCAGTACCGACTCAAAGCGACCCTATGCACAACACAGCCTCTCTTCTGGGATAATGTTCAAATCCTGAGGGGTGTTCTAGTTCCCAGGTAGATGTAATGAGCTGAACTTCTAGATGTTGTTGTGAAGTGCTGCCGAGTCTGTATAGGGTTTCCAAGGAGCAGCTGGTGCATTTGAACCACCGACCTCGTGGTTCAAACCAACCTTACCATCCAGTGCTTTATCTCCCATTGCTACACCAGCACTCCAGTTGTTGTTGTTAAGTGACATCGAGTTGATTCCGACCCATAGCGGCCCTATAGAGGGTTTCTGAGGAGTAGCTGGTGAGCTTGAACTACCAACCTTGCAGTTCCAACAGCTTTGCAGTCTGACGCATTAACCCACAGTGCCACACCAGGGCTCCCCAGTTGTTGTTAGCTACCATCAAATTGGCCCCCAGCTCATGCTGACCCTATACAGGATTGCTGTGGATTATGATCCATGGGGTTCTCATTGGCAGAGTGTCTGAAGTTGATCACCAGGTCTTTCTTCCTAGTCTGTCTTAGTCTGGAAGCTGAGCTTAGGAAACAGAAAGATGGAGTAAAATACTCCCAGGTACTTACCATAGTTACTTCCTGAGTCGTGTTCTGCTGTTGTCCGGCAGAGGAAGAGCTTTACCAGTGTCAATTCAGGCCTGAGCCTTTGACATGATTTCCTTTTCACGCAGGTGAGGGTATGTGAGCCTACAAGATGGTTCACTTAAGGGGCTCCCAAAAGAGGGAAGAGACCTTTTCCATCCCAGCTAAGCCTTGAATGTTTTAAACAACAGAGAATGTGATTCTCCTCTGACGTGATTAAGCCCAGTGGCTGTGGCTTTATTTCTGGGGCTTGCATGATCAACATGGACCGGAACAGAAAAGGTGACTTTTTCTGCTTAGACCAAGATGCCTGATTCACCAATGTCTGTATCTAGCCAGGCTTCCCTGAGCAGACCAAAGTGGCCAGAGTTGTGTGGCTCCTCAGAGGACAATCTACACTCAGAAATCATTTCTCAGCAAGACCCATAGCACAGTTGGTACACATACAAGTTGGTACACTTGCAGCTTGCTCGTTTTTTGGTTTTGCTTTTCAGCAACCACCATGAACTCTCTCTTGTTTTGTAATGTCAGCATTCTATACCCCAGAATGTTTTCTGCTCAAGTCATGCATTTGCTAATTAAAATCAGTTGCTAGGTCAGTGACTAGAACCCAGGGATTTAGACCATTGCCCTAGGATTTTTAAGTAAATTTTATTATGAAAAGGTTTAAACATAGCAAAAGAGTAGAGCGGCTAGTACACCTACTCCTTACTTACCCACTTCCTCACTGTTGGAGGATATTTTGCATTTATGACAATAGTAACAAAGATATACTGGTGTGGCGCTGTGGGTAATGTGTCAGACTGCAAGGTTGGTTGGAACTGCAAGGTTGGTGGTTCAAGCTCACCAGCTGCTCCTTGGAAACCCTATACAGGGACGATATGGGTCGGAACCAACTTGACGGCACTTAACAACAACAACTATTCTGTGCATTAACCTGGGCTTCCTGCCTGAGTTCAGCTCCCAGCACAGAGAGACACCCTTGTCTGCCAAGCTCACAGCTAAGCAGCCAGCTCTCCAGACCACCTCGTGTCAGGCCATATCCATTGCTGGGGCCACCGGTGCAGCCCTTTGTGCAAAAGAGGCAACTGAGGCAGATCTTGTGAGTGGCCCTAGGTCCCCAGGAGGAGGTGGGGATGGGAGAGGTTGCCTCTGTTGCTCCCCTCTACTTAAGTGCCCTGGGGGGACCAAGTCCTCTAGAGGGGATAGGGCAGAAGACAGCTGGCTCCCCTCATCCGCAGCTATTGCTCTTAGTCTCCAGGCTCTCGACCAACCTTCGGTTCCAAGCCTTCCAGGGCTAGCAGGAAGTACAGCAGCTCAAAGATCTGGGCTCCAGGGCCTGTCTCCTCCTCCTCCTCCTCCTCCTCCACCACCACCTCCGCCTTGCTGAGTGAGGAATGGGTGTTTGCATTTTGTCACATTTCTTCATCTACTTTATTGTTGTTGATGTTTTTTAAAGTAATTACAACCACGACATTCCACTCCTTCATTTTACCACTTTAGTATTCATCTCCAAACAAATAAGAACATTTCCAATACAATCACAATACCACTAGCACATGTACCAAAATTAATAATAATTCCATGATGACATCTAAGACCCAGTCTTTTGTTTTCTTCGGTTGGCCCCCGAGATCTTTTATAACTGGTCTGTTCAAAGCAGGAACCTATCAGAGACTGCATGTCGCATGTTACTTTATCTTAAACTTTGACAATCTAGAACAATTCTTTCCCCTTAACTTTTTGTTCTGCTTTGACGTTGATTTGTGAAAAGAACTCTTGGATCTTTTCAATAGAAATTATGATATTTTTCATGGATTCTTTCTCTGGTATAGCTAAATTTCTTATGTTGCTTTTGTATTAGTTACTATAATCTGAGGATTTGGGCTTTGTTTATTTTATCAAACTAACCCAGGAGTCTAGAAATTGATTCATGTCTGACCTTGACCAATATTGTTAAATTCTATTAGTTTCTTTTTAATCTCAAATGATTTCTTTTTTTTCTTTTGCGTTTGTAAGAATTTTTTTAACTTAAAATAGATGCAAAATGACAAAGGTGGGTTCTGAATATCAGTCATGTGTCAGGTGAATAAAAACCTTAATACTGTTCTCCATGTTCAGTTTGCAGAGAAGTTCCAGGAAGTGAAAGAAGCTGCCAGAGTAGCCAGAGACAGGTCCCAGGAGAAAATTGAGACCTCAAGTAACCATTCCCAAGTAAGTGATTTGTCCATCAGAGAAATCTGACTGTGATCAGTAAGACATGTTGCTTTTTGTAGGAATTAGGGAATTCTAGGAATCCTGGTGTGGTGCTGTAGGATAAGCACTGGACTACATAGTCGGTTTGAATCAAAAGGTTGGAGGTTCAAACTCACCAGGCATTCCTCAGAAACTATACATAGGGTTGCTATGAGTTGGAACTGGAGTCCTGGTGTGGCGCTGTGGGCTAATGCGCCAGACCTCAAAGCAGTTTGAACTGCAGGGTCGGCAGTTCAAGCTCACCAGCTGCTCCTCGGAAACCCTATACAGGGTCACAATGGGTCAGAATCGACTCGGCGGCACTTAACAACAACAACATGGAAATTCTAGCAGTAGGACATCTGAAGGCCTTTTCAACTGTTAACCTGCAGACAGCGAAGTGAATGTGACTTGTTTTTATGTGACTTGGATTTTTCGGGATGTGCATTTTTGACAGCAATTGGTTGATGGGATTAGAGTTAATGCATGCTCCTGACATCCTCTGGTCACTATGTGTAAGTATCAGCAGGAGGGCAGGGTTTTCCATACTGGGTTGGGAGGTGGGAGCGTAAACGTGAGACCCGAGTACTTTGTGTCCATGGTGGGTGCCAGAGAGCCCTCGTGTCTTCTTCTTTTAACAAAAGTCAGATGAGAAATGGCATTCCAGTAGCTCTGTCTTAGCCAAAAAGTCAGACTGTTGGAAACTGAATGATCTGTCTACTTAAAAGTGTGATGACTGACTGAAAAAGACCTATTTTAACCTGAAATAAAGAGACCTGCATTCGCAGTGTCTGTGTTGTGGGGGGAAGTCTTGACCTAGTGACAAGGACATCTGTCTCAGGAAGACGTGGAAAGAGATAAAGTCAGGAGGAAAGATTTGAGTCAGGAATAATTAGCCAGACTGTAAGGTGTCTGCCTCCCTGAGGCTGAAGGTGAGCTGTAGAAATCGTGGAGGTGTGCTTACAGATATTGTGACTGACCTGGAATTTTTTTATCATGGGACAGTCTGTTATTTATTCGTTATGTATTTAAGACTCCCTGGTGGCCCGGGAGATTAAGGGGTGATCTGCTCCCGTAAAGATTGACAGTTTCTAAAACCCTATGAGACAGTCCTCCTCTGTCCTGTAGGGTTGCTATGCATTGGAATCGACTCAGTGGCAGCGGGCTTGTTTTTTGTTTGTTCAATTATATACTTATTTTTTGGTGGTTTTATTGGAGGTGTTGTAAGAATATTGATCTGGAAGTAACACGAGGGTTGCATGTGAGCAGGGAGGAAATCAAGAAGTGGCCAAAAGCAGGAAGATTGTTGAGGAAGTTGTGGAGTGAAGAATGGACCGACCAGGACAAGAAGGGAGGGATGAGTTTCAGAGCTGGCTCGTAGAAAAGAACCCGGAAGCATGGACATCTCGGGCAGTTCCCATCGGCACTCTAGTCTTGACCACCTGCCTGCAGAAACATGACTGAAGCCTTGGGTGCAGCAAGAAGCAGTGGCGGGCGATGGTCCCGAGCTACCATCACCAACTCCTGTCAAAGGGATCGCATTAGAAGGTCCTGGAGAGAGGGGGAGAAAAATATTAGAACAGAACTCAAAATCATAAAAAACAACATTTAAAAATACTAGTCTGACTGGTAAGCTAAAGACTGGTGGGATCCCCAAGACTGTGACCCCTAGTCACCCTTGAGTTCTGAAAATAAAATCACACCCGTGGCTCAATTTTCAGCCAAACAATAAACTGGTCCATTAAGAGAACAGTAGCAATAGAGGTTCAGAAGGGTTAGAAAAGAAGGAAAAATGGAAACAGGAAACACTGGGGGGAATGGGATAAATGATGTTACACGGAGGGGATTGCAATCAACGGCTTAAGACAAAATTTGTATCAATAGAATTCCCTTGTTGAATGGGAAACTCATCTACTCTGTAAATCTTCACCCAATTCACAATAAAAGGTTAAAAACAAGAAAAGAAACAGTGGAGACAGATGAGAAAAGGTAGAGCCTTAAGAAACACATGTAGTTAAAAGAAGGGAGCCAGCAAAAACAGGCAGAGAAGGAGACATTTCAATGCCACCATACCCATGGAAGGCCATAGTTGTGGTGGCAGTGCTGCAGATGGCAGGGAGAGGATGCTGAGAGGGGTCCTTGTTTGTCAACCACTGTGGCTGACCGGGTAGGGTAGGCGCTTCAGTGGTTCAGAGCTTATTCCTATCCGTATATTCTCAGCACCTTGTCCTGCGATCATCATACAAAAGGTGCTCATGTGAACTTATTGAAATTAATGTTTGTTCAATTTTAGGTGGACAGGAATGTTCCTGAATCCTTCTTAAATAATCTGGTGTGGCGCTGTGGCTGCAAAGCCATTTGAACTGCAAGGTCAGCAGTTCAAGCTCACCAGTCACTGTTCGGAAACCCTGTATAGAGTCGCTGTGGGTCAGATCCGACTCGACGGCACTTCACAACAACAACAATAATCTAAATGATGCTATTAAATTAGCATACTAATCACCCTACTTAGTAACCTCTGAGAACCTATGAAATGGCCCAGGTTCTAAAGAGTTTCTGATACACCTACGAGGGTAAATCAGAAAGTATTGCTACTGGGGTTCTAGTTCATAAATGCACAGTTTTATTCCAAAGATAGTCAGACTTGTCTCTGGTATCCGTGGGTGGCTGCAGACAAGTTCTCTCAGTTGTACACTTGTCTTAGTCTCCTTCGGAGCCCTGGTGTGATGCTGGAGGATAAGCAATGGACTGGTAACCGCAAGGTTGCAGTTCAAACCCACTTGCAACTTTCAGAAACCCTACATAGGGTCTCAACAGCGCACAAGAACAACCTTCTTAACAGTGGCTTCTGAGGGGATCTTCTGGGTCAGTTAAATTCAAGGTAGAGAGGTCAGCTCAGAAGATTACAGTGACTTTCCTGGGGATTCCAAATATATAGGTTTTCTTGGTGGACACAGGACAATCACTGGGACTTATTTAGAAGTTTTAAGAAAATGGAAAACTGTATTACTGGGGAAAAGGCCAGGAAAATTGTGCCAAGGATTTGGTTTTTCCCATAACAACGTGTGTGCTGCTTCTTTGAGGCTCGCCCAGGCTGACCGATGAAAATTTTGTTGGGAAACCCTACGCCATCCACCCCACAGCCCTGATCTTGTTCCTTTAGATTTTTTGTTTTCCAAACTCAAAGAGCATTTCAAAGCAACATGATTTGGGTTCCTCCAGGATGCGAAAACTGCCATTTTGACGTGTAAACTGAAGAACACCGACTTCTTCAGGGAAGGGTTAGTGGTTGTATACCACCAAGTCGGTTCTGACTCATCGCGACCCTGTGTAGGGTTTCAGAGGCTGTAAATCTTTATGGGAACAGAAAATCTCTTTTTTCTCCCAAGAAACGACTGGAAGATTCAAACTGTCAACCTTGCAGTTAGCTACTGGGGAAGGATTTGTTGTTGTTGTTAAGTGCTGTCGAGTCAGTTCCGACCCACAGCAACCCTGTAGAAGGTTTTGAAGGAGTGACTGGTGAGCGTGAACCACCAACCTTGCAGTTCAAACCGTCTTTGCAGTCTAGTGCATTAACCCACAGTGCCACACCAGGAGGGTTAAAGAGATAGAAACACCGTCTTCAGAATGTACAGACCTAGATGGAGGAATTGTCAAGACACAATAGCTTCAGTTTGTACTTTTTGCTTAATGAAGGTTTCTATGATTTTTGTAGCAATACTTTTTGACTTACCCTCATACAATGGTGATGTCTTTAAACTTTAAAATCTGAATTTCTTTATATTAGGTTTTTGTTTCAATGTTTATTTTCCCCTAAAAGTATTTTAAATCCTAGAAATCTCAAGTATGAGTGTATACCTATGCTATTATTTATGTTGTTGTTGATAAGTGCCGTCGAGTTGGTTCCAACTCATAGCAACTCAGGGTTTCCAAGAAGCACCTGGTGGGTTTGAACCACCGATCAGATATTTTATATATATATATATATATATATGTTATTGATTATATACAAATGTTTCTCTCTGTGCTTTTGTTTTAATTTACCTTGTCTTATTTACCCAGATACAAAGATCATTGTATATTTTTATTTTTTGTTAGACATCATATGTATTCTTGTTTTCTTGACTCTCTTGAAGAATGAACGCTTTTGCAGATTTTTCAAAATATTTGAAAATTTCAACAACCTAGTAACAAATATAGCTAATATTGGAATTTTTTTGGGGGGGTACTATAAAGACAATTTTTTTATTTATTGTAGATATACATATATATATATATATGTCACACTTGTTGTTAAATACCATCGAGTTGGTTCCGACTTATAGTGATCAAGTTTACGGTTTCTGAAGCTTTAAGGGAGCAGAAAGCTTTATCTTTCTCCCTCGGAGCAGCTGATGGGCTCAAATCATCCACTTTTTGGTTCGCAGTCCAGTGTTTATCCTACAAAGCCACCCTGCTCCCCCTACAAAGCAGGAAATAATAATCACCTGCTCTGTCACTACTTGGATCTATTTTATTAATATTTTGGTGAGCATCTTCTTATGTAGTTTTCTAGTATCTTTTTAAAAATGTTATTGTATATGTTATGATCATTTCCTCATGTTTTCAAATATTCCCTTTCAAAAATGTTTTAATGACTCTGTAGTAGTCCAAGGTTTATTTGGTCACAATTTAATCCACCAACTTGCTGTAATTTGAGATCGCTAGTGCAGTGCTGTGGGGTAAGCGCTGGACTGCAAAGTCGGTTTGAACCACAAGGTCGGCAGTTCAATCCCATGCAGGGTCACTGTGGGTCAGAACCAACTCGACAGCACTGAACAACAACAACAACATAGCCTTTCTAGAGTCCTGATGTGGTGCTGTAGGATAAGCACTCGATCACAAGATTTGTTTGAACCAGGTTTTCGGTTCACATCCCTCAGAAAGCCTATACAGGGTCACTGTGAGTGGGAAACAACACAACAAGAGTAAACAACACTATAGTCTTTCTAATTCGTAATTCACGTGGATGATCTTACTTGCATTTCTTTGTGCATTGTGTTATTTCTTCAGGCTAAATTCCTAGAGGCAGAAGTATTGGGTTTGGGACAAGGACGTTTGTAAAGCTTTTGATGTGTAATGCAAACTTAGCCTACAGAAAGCCACAGTTTTGATTCCCACCAGCACTGGATGAGAACAGATTTTTCCTCCCACACCTGCATCAACAAAGTTTTGCTTATTTGACGGGTGAAATATGTATCTTACTGTTTTTATTTCATTTTCTATTTCTTTACTAGTGAGATGAAACATTTTTACATTTTTATTGATTCTGTGCATTTCTTCTTTTGTGACTGTCAACTCTGTACCCTTTCCTTTTGATAAAAATTCAGGTGCTCATCTTTTTTTGACTGTTTTCAGAGAGTTTTGTTTTTTAACATATGCAAAGCTGGGCTGAATAGTGGGAAACCTCCATGTACCATAGATCAGCTTTAATGATCAGAAACACAAAGCCAATTATTTCATCTCTATCCCTTTTCATAAGAAGCCTTGATGGTGCAATGGGTTAAGCATTAGACTGCTGACCAAAATGTCAGCTGTTCGAACCCACCAGCCACTCCACAGGGGAATGACAAGGCAGTCTGCTTCTGTAACGATTTACAGTCTCAGAAACCCTATGCAGCAGTCGTGTTCTGTCCCACAGGATCGTCATGAGTTGGATTTCACTAGAGGAGAGTGGGTGTGGGTTAAACATCCCTTTCTACCTCCCTACACTCAGAAACGAGTGCCCTTCAAAGGGCTCGTGGAAAAATTCATTATCTTTTCATTTCATTTTCCTACAAACTTTTAATGCCCCTCATATTCAAAAGCAAATCCCAAGCGTTTTATCATTTCATCCATAAAAGATTTTGAGGTGGAGCTCTAGAAGATGTGGGTCCTAAGAACCTTTTAATATAAGAAAGGCATTAACATTTTATGTTTAATATCTGCTGCATATATTACCCCAGGGTTTTATTTGCATTTCCATGTACTTTATGGCATATTTTGAAATGCAGAAATAAAATTAGTCAGATTAGTACATTGTTCACCTTGGTGGGTCCTTCCTTTGCCTTTATGCTTATTGGAGGCTAAGTAAGATCTTATCACCGATCAGATGGGATGGTACCTTCCCCTGGTGCTGCCTTTTACCGAGCACATTAAGAACAGCTATGGCAATGGCAAATAGGAATGGAGACAGGAAACACCCATATCTGATATTTGCATTTTTAATAAATGTGTTTCTCTACTTCTGTGTAGCCCCAGGATTTTTAAATTCTTGTCTGAGCTTCTAATACTTTTTCTCTATCTTTATTCACCGTTTCTTATTGCTTAATATAGATGGTAATCCCTCCTCCCCTTTTAATCTGCAATTTTCTTCTGTGGTGTTTGGGGAGCCTTGTCACTCAAGTTTGTTAAGGTTGTCTGTGAAGTTTGAGCCAGAGGCTTTGAGTAACCTCCTGAGGGGTCTCTTGTTGGGAAAGTGAACAGACTTTGTCAGCTTCCCCGGGACTCTCGGGGCCTGAATCTTTGTTCTGGATCTTTGTTCTGGGTGGTCTCTATTAGTCTTTTTTAATGGGTTAAGTCTTTGCTGTGTTCTGGACAGATGAGTTGGTCTGCCCACACTCATAAACACACAGGTTCTCATTATACCTGATTTGCTGCCAATGTGAGGACGAGCAGTAACGTGTGAAGATAATTCACTTTGACCAGGAATCTGGGTGTGAAACCCCATCTTCTACTCAGGCCTCCAGCGTCAATGGGACAGACGATGAGAAGGCCTCCCACACGGGTCCTGCTGACACACACCTGAAATCCGAGAATGACAAGCTGAAGATTGCTTTAACACAGAGGTAAGGGTTGTGGAAACATCACATCCTGTTTTCTTCCAGTCCAGCGCTTCCTTGGAAGCCTGGCCTGTGAGGCAGGGTTTCAAGAAGTTGGGAGGGGAGACTGGAACCTGCCTGAAGCTTCCAGTCTTCTGTCATGGCCAGAGGAAGTCCCATAGGCCTTCATGGCAGCACTTTGTCAGACTAACCACACCAGCATCAATGTGTGTGCGAGAGAGTGTGTATGTGTGTGAACGGGTGAGTGACTGAGAATAAGTATGTGTGTGTTGCATGTATATGTGTGTATGAGTGTGTGTGGGTGGGTGGGTGGCACCAACATACTGTTATGTCTCTTAAGAATGTGTCCCGGTTCCCACAGGCTGGGTGTGGACTTCATGGTGTGGGCTAGCCCCAGGACCACACTCAGAACTGCTGTCTTCAGATTCATTCTGCTCTCCTCAGAGTTGCCATGTTTAAGAGCTATGTCGTCTTAGAGGTGATCCTGTCTAAATTCCCACATTTTACAGATGGAGGAAACTTAGTTCCACGTGGTTGAAGGAGTTTTCCAAGGTCACATGACTAACAAACCTGCCCACCACCCCACTTTATTTGTCTTTCGCCCAAGGGTGTAGTTACCATCTCTTCGGGAATCTTCCAAGAGGCAGCCAGTCAGTCACACATGTCATAGCTGGAGCCACCAAAGGGCTGTCCCCACCTCTCCAACTCAGCTGACCTGGCTATGTATGAGCATAGTTGAATTCCTATGGCCTCACCCAGGAATCCCAGCAAACACATGTGATGCTTAGCCCTGCTGCCTGCCTCTGGACTGTGGGCTTTTGTCAGATGCTTCAAAGAACAGGAGGTCTCTTTTCTTGCCCATCAGGAGGTTGTGAGGACTATTTTGGGTTGCTCAAGTCACAGTGGGCTGCCTGGATGAAAAAGTTCCACCCCTAAAAATAAAGCTTTTAAAATCCCAGTCTAATGAGCAAGTGAATTTCAGGAATGAGTGTGAAACCATTTTCCCTAAGTCAGTTTACATTCTCTTTCATCAACTCTAAAATTAATCAGATTTTACTATTTTTTCTTCCATCTGTGGCATTTGGAAAGTATGTATTTTCCAGTCACATGAGGTCCTTAAGGTCATGGAATAAAAAAATAAAGCAGATTATTCAGATGCAGTTGTTTTGTTTTCAAGGCCTTTAGCCAGGCCGCATTGATTAAGAACCGGGAACCTTTCTGATAGACTTCACTTTCCTGTCACCTCAGGTCACATGCAGCACCACAAATGTGTAGACTCCCAAGAGAAGGGTTAAAGGGAGATCAAAACGGAAACCATGACTGAGAGAGCCTGATTCCAGTCTGTTTATTTTTAAACTTCTTTCTCACCAAGCACATAGAATCAGTGGTAAAATGTAAAGTTTTTGTGGTAACGGTAGAGGCGTCCCTCAGACCTCAGGGCTGAGTCCCATATCCCTGAGGTAAGCTGAGGACAGCCAAGACCGCCCTCCCATGCAGTGTTAGAACTCCAGTTCAGCCCACACTGTTTCCCCAGTCACTTTCTCCTCTGTCCTCAGGACTCAAATCTAGATTCATTAAAAGTCTCTGAGGAGACACAGATTTTGGAAGCAGTGCCATTCGGGAATAAGGCTTTTTGTTTGTTTAAACCTGAGCTCCTTGGGCTCCAAAGAGACGTGTTGTGAACTTGTTTCCATCAGATTCTCGAAGGGCTCCACGACCCTCCCAGAACCATTGCTCTTGAGGAGTAGCCTCTGAGAGGTTGTACACGTTGAGATGTTAGACTGTTGGAGGTTTAAGTCCACTCAGAGACACCTCAGAACAAAAGCCTGCTGATGATCTGCCTCCAAAAACATTCCAGCCATTGACAACCCTGTGGAGTAGAGCTCTACCCTCACACACAGGGGTCACCATGGGCCCACTCGATGGCATCTGGTTTGCTGGTCCCTGAGGGAAGGAACATGGACCTGAGAGGAGGCTCTGAGCCCTGGGATCAGCAGGGAAGTAGGAGGGAGGTGAGGCCTCCTGCTGTGTGTGGTATGTTCACACTAGAAATCATTGCCAGTGTGGGACCCGGGGTGGGCTGTGTGGGTGGCAGGACCCCTCCATCCCCAGACCATCTTGGTCACTGCCTTGCCCCTACCCCACAGCGCTGCCAACGTGAAGAAATGGGAGATCGAGCTGCAGACCCTGCGGGAGAGCAATGCCCGGCTGACCACAGCCCTGCAGGAGTCCGCAGCCAGCGTGGAGCAGTGGAAGAGGCAGTTCTCCATCTGCCGGGACGAGAACGACCGGCTCCGGAACAAGGTGGGCCGCCCGCCAGCCTGGGTGTACCGCGTGCCTGGGAACAGATGCGGCAGGCCACTGGGGCTGGCTGGAGTGGACAGTGGAAGGCCGGGCCAGCCTCCATTCTGCTTTTCTCTCCTCTCCTCGCCTCTCACCTCCTCCCTCTCCCCTTCCCCAAGGTCAAAAGACCTGCAGCCTCTTCGCTTTGAACTGCCACCTCCCTGCCTTTCTTTCCAGTCTTTAGTCCTTTGGGATTTCTTTCTTTTGTTCCTTTGGGTTGAAATGCAGGCACACCCTATCTTTAATCCTTATGGAGACCTCTGCATTAGTTTAAATGTTAGAACAATAAGGGAGTTTGGATGCAGATATCTGGGCATTTCAATGTTGTTGTTGTTAACTGCTGTCCAGTCGATTCCTACCCATAGGGACCCTATCTATATAGGGTTTCTGAGGAGCAGCTGGTGAGCTTGAACCGCTGACCTTGCAGTTCAAACAGCTTTGCAGTCTGGCACATTAACCCACAGCGCCACACCAGGACTCCGTTTCAATAGCTGTGATAAATCCAAGAAGCAAACTGCGGTCCTGTGTTAAACCAGGGGCATTTGACACGGTTCAGCCCATCCTTCTTGAAGCTGAAATACCTTCCCCACTGGCTTTGAGCCATCCTGTGCTCCTCGGATCGTCCTTCATCATCTCCAGTGTCAGTGTGTCCTCTCCTCCCCTCAGCACCTGACCCTGCTTCCCAGGTGGTCTCTGTTCCCTGCACTGATGGCCCACCCTTTCTCAGTGGGAATGTCACCATGGGAATGACTACCTGGTTTATGTTTGTTGTGGAATCAGATTTTCTAAACTCTGCTGCTGAAGCAAAGATAAAGAAATTGGGGGGTTCACTTCGAGTTCCATGTAGAGGGTGTCCTCTGAGTCTCCTTGGGGTTGGTCTTTAATGCTGTGATTCATTTACCTGGATGGAGAAGAGCGATCGGAGGGCCTGTGGGTCAGTGAGAAAAGAGGCGGGGAAGGGAAGAGAAGTTTCTAGAAGCCCTGCTTCCGTACAAATCATCACTTGTAAAAAGGCAAATCGGGAGGTGGCAAGGGACCTTTGCCTTTGAGGAGGGGAGGTGCTGGCAGCCTTCGTTGGCAGATCAGATGCCCTCTGCTCTCCTACCTTGTCATGCTAGCAACTTGCTTTTTTTTTTTTTTTTTATTTTTTAAAGGTTTTTTATTGTGGATTGAGTGAAAGTTTACAGGGCACATCATCAGTTTTACATTCAACATCGTGCCTTCAAGCCCACCTGAGAAATTTCAAGATGTCATTGTTGGTGGTTATGATGTAACCCAGGATTTAATTTTTTTTTTTTTTTTAATGCATTTATCCTTGCAGCATAGGGTGTTAAATATTGGGAAGCTAACAGCCAGGTCTGCAGTTCAGACCCACCTAGGGAGCAAGATGAGGCTGTCTGCTTCCAGAAAGATTTGCAGTCTCGAAACCCTAAGGAGCAGTTCTGCTCTGGGTAGCTATGACTTGGAATCAACTCGATGGCAGTGGGCAGGGGCTTGGGATCAATCATCCATACTTCCATAGACTGGCTGCATTGCTGAGGTGGTTTGGGGCAGCCAGAGAGTGCCCCTTTCAGGACTGAGGTTCCTGTGCTGACCATGTTTTAGTGGCCACCCTGTGAATTTGACAGGCAGTTAACACTCAGGGCTTTGGAGTCTGTTTTTTAAGTGTGGAATTTGTTGCAGGGGTGGGGGGGGGGGGGGGGTGGACTAGGTGCCCCTAGTCACCCTCTAGCCCTAACAGCCTGCCCTGCCACTGTATCCCAGCACGCCATGTCACCTCCTTACCTTGATGCTGAGGGCACACAAAACTGCCCCCTGTCATTTCTGCAGACCATCTTGAGCTTTCCATGTAAATGCCCAAAGTGCTGACAGTGAGGGGCTCCCAGCCAGTCGCTGACTCTGCGATTCCTTTCCTGGCAGATCTGCCTGCCAGCTGGATCGATTGCCCTTTATTTCATTTTTTCAAGCAGAGAGCTAAGTGTCCTGCTTTGTGTCTGAGTATACTCTCTGAAGGGAGGAGTAGAAGTTGAACATCACAGAACTTGCTCCCCTGGAGAAATGCCAACTTCCCTGAAGAAAAAGCAGCATCAGGGCCCTGATTTCCAGGGCTGGGGGCTGCAGACATGGGCTCTCCAGCTGCCCCTGTGGCTACACATTCAGACCCTGAGGGTGACCGATCCCTCCAGAAGTGTTCTGGAGGCAAACACGCAATGCCCTCAATAGTGAGGACTGCTGCAGGAATCCCAGGGAGCTCCCCATCGGTAGGAGGCTGCCATGTAACCCTTTGGCTCCATTCCTGCCACCCAGCCCCACTCTGCACACATAGTTTGGCCCTTGGAAATGCTCAGAGCCATTTGGCACCCCCAGGGGCATAGGTCTTTGGATGCTCACGGGATGTGGAGAAGTCTTCTGAGAGGCACTGGGGAAGGAGAGAAAGGTACAACCCGAATTCGCTATTCTCTAAGGAAGAGGGAGATGCACAGGCTCCATCACATCCATCAATAAGGAAAGGTCATCTAGAAATAAAATGTTTGAAAGGTCATCACTCCCATTTGGCAGAGTTATTAAGTGCTCTACCCTGCTGACTTCCACCCTTGAAATGAAACAGCATAATTCAGGACAGGATTAAGTGATGTAAAAGTGATGCTGGGAAGAAGCAGAGAGATTCAGGAGACATCTGGCTCTGACTTGTGATGGCTGCTTAAAGCAAACCCAAAGTTACCATCTTACGGTTATCAGCAAACCTGATGCCAGAGTGTCCTGAAGCCAGGCTCTGCTGATGTGGCGCTGCGAGTTAATGCGCTGGACAAAGTTGGTTTGAACCACAAAGTTGGAGGTTCAAACTCACCAGCTGCTCCTTGGAAACTCTATACAGGGTCGCTATGAGTCGGAACCCACTCGACGGCACTTAACAACAAGTTGGTAATGAGGTAGACATCTCATGGGAATAGATGCTAACATAGCTCCATAGTCGCTGTGAAGTTGGTTCAGAGCCACAAAGAAAAACTTATCAGCAGGTGGTTGTTGTTAGGTGCCATTGCGTCGATGTCGACCCATAATGACCTTATGTACAGCAGAACGAAACACTGCCCGATCCTGGGCCAACCTCACTACTGTTGCCACACTTGAGACCATTGGTGCTGCCAGTTGGCCAATCCATCTCTCTGGGGGTCTTCCTCTTTTTCTCTGACCCTCCACCTTACCAAACATGATATCCTTCTCCAGCGACTGGTCCCTCCTGACAACATGTCCAAAGTATGAGAGACGAAGTTTGTCCATCCTGGCCTCCAAGGAGCACTCTGGTTGCACTTTGTCCAACACAGATCTGTTGGTTCTATGGGCAGCCCATGGCATTTTCAATATTCTCCTCCAACACCATAACTCAAAAGCATCAATTCTTCTACAGTCTTTATTATTTACTGTCCAGCTTTCACATGCATATGAAGTTACTGAAAATACCATGGCTTGGGTCAGGCGCAACCTAGTCCTCAAGCTGACATCTTTGCTTTTCAACACTTGAAAAAGGTCTTGTGCAGCAGATTTGCCTAATGCAACATGTCATTTTTTTCTTGACTGCTGCTTCCGCGAGTGTTGATAGTTGATCCAAGAAGAATGAAGTCCTTGACAACCTCAATCTCTTCTCCATTGATAAGAATGTTGTTTATTGGTCCAGCAGTGAGGATTTTTGTTTTCTTTACATTGAGATGCAATCCATACTGAAAACTGTGCTCTTTGATCTTCATCAGTAAATATTTTAAGTCCTCTTCACTTTCAGCAAGCAAGGTTGTATCATCTGCATATTGCAGGTTGTTAATGAGTCTTCCTCCAATCCTGATGTCACGTTTTTCTTCATGGAACCCAGCTTCTCAGGTTATTTGCTCAGCATACAGGTTGAATAAGTATGGTGAAAGAATACAACCCTGTTGCACACCTTTCTTAATTTTAAACCATTCAGTGTTCCCACGTTCTATTCAAACAACTGCCTCTAGGTCCAGGTACAGATTCCTCATGAGCACAATTAAGTGTTCCAGAATACTCATACTTCGCAATGTTGCCCATAGCTTGTCATGATCCACACAATCAAAAGCCTTTGCTTAGTCAATAAAGCACAGGTAAACATCTTTATGATAGTCTTTGCTTTCAGCCAAGATCCATCGGACATCAGCAATGATATCTCTCATTCCACAGCCTCTTCTGAATCCAGCTTGAACCTCTGGAAGTTCTCTGTCAGTGTATGATTGTAGCCATTTTCGTATTACCTTTAGTAAAACTTTACTCACATGGGATATCAAAGATATTGTCCGATGATTTCCGCATTCCGTTGGGTCACCTCTCTTTGGAATGGACACAAATATGGATCTCTTCCAATCACTCAGCCAGATAGTTGTCTTCCAAATTACTTGGCAGAGATGAGTGAGTGCCTCCTGTGCTGCCTCACTTTCTTGAAAGATTTCGATTCGTATTCCATCAATTCCTGGTGCCTTGTTCTTGCCAATTCCTTCAATACAGCAGGTTAGTTTATGGTTTATTTAAAACGGAAAACTGCCACAGAGACGCAGTGATCTTTTGTTGACTGTCTAAAGTGAATAAACATGCCTTTCTAACGTGGGGTGTCTTTTAGATCGACGAACTGGAAGAACAGTGCAGTGAGATAAACAAAGAGAAGGAGAAGAACAGTCAGTTGAAGCACAGGATCGAGGAGCTGGAATCGGAACTCCGAGAGAAGGAGACGGTGAGTAACAACGCACTAAGCAGCATCCTCTCTTCCCTGAAGCCCCTTAGGGTGGTCTCACAGGGGTCACATGACAGCACCAAGGCAGAGCCAGGAGGCACACCAAGGCTGCGCCAGAGCACCAGCCTAACCAGTCAGTCACTCCTGATCACAAGCAAGTTGAACATCCTACCAAACACTCAGGAGACTTCTGTAGATAATTGCTCATCTCTCATCAGAAGTAGAGTTCAGCAATCCAGCTACTGCAAGCAGCTAGTCTCAGTATTCATGCGGCCGTTTATTTCCCCGCTGGGGGGTGGCGAGGGGCAAGTGGAGGACAGCCATTCACACAGACACGGGAGATCACAGGCAAGCTGCCAAACCTCTTAAAACCTTAGTGTCCTCATCTACAAAACTGCAGTAATCCTAAGAGTACCTGCCTTTTTCTGGTGGTGTATGGAGTCAGTCCCTGGTGGCACAACGGTTAAGCGCCCGGCTGCTATCCCACGGTTCAGACTCACCCATCACTGGTGGGAGAAGGTGTGGCGGTCTGCTTCCATGTAGACTGCAGCTATGGAAACACTAGGGGACATTTATCTGTTCTGTGGGGTCACTAGGAGTCAGGACTGATTTGATGGCAGCGTGTTTGTCTTTTGTTATGTTTTTTAATGGAATGCCTGGGCAGTGCAAAAGGATAACATGCTGAGCTGCGAACCAAAAGACTGGAGGTTCAAGTCTATCCAGAAGTACCTCAGAAGAAAGGATTGGCAATGTACTTACAAAAAAGGTAGCCATTGAAAACCCTGGTGCACAGTTCTACTCTGACACACACAGGGTCGCCTCGAACCTGACTTCAGAAGATAATTCATGTAACACGCTCAGCAGCTCTCAGCGTGACCTGACGTCTAAGTATCAACATCATTATCCTATCACTTATGCAAACAGTACAGGTTCCAAAAGCTGCTTCTCTTAGTGTAGGCACACCTTGGTGGTTTTCAAGCAGACACTGTGTCTGACTTGCTCTCATGTTCCTTTTCAAATTTCTGTCTCATGTAGGAGTTGAAAGATCTCCGAAAACAAAGTGAAATCATACCTCAGCTCATGTCAGAGTGTGAATATGTCTCTGAGAAGCTGGAGGTAAGTAAGGGGGAGCCGTCCTTCTCAGCTTGGTTGGTCCTTGCTCATTGCCTCAGCTGCCTCTCACTTCCACACCTGGCACGTTAAAGAAGAATGCATTTCTATTCTTAAAAATCAGTGGTAATTACATGCCAGATGCCATCTGTGCCCCTGGGGGCAGGCTCAGCAGTGTTTTTGTCTTCAGTTTTTCCATCTATAAAGCATGCTTCTTGTGCTATTGCAGGTGACTATTTCCCACCCACAGAAGTCCCCACAGGACCACAGAGGCCAGAGGAATGGGGGGCTGCAGGGGTGGGCCTGGGAGCCTAAAAGCTGGTACTGACCCTTCTCTGCCACTCCCCAGCCAGTGATGTTGGGGGCGGTGCCCTGCGCAGGCCCTCCTAGCTGGCCTCAATGTCTGATCCATATAAGCAGGGTTTCCACGCCCCACTTCACCTCCTAGGTTTGGAACCTTAGGCCCTTTGACAGAGTCAAGCAGTACTTCATTCAGGCACACAACCCCAACTACTGGCTGGCTCCGCACACATGTTTGAAGACAGTCTCATTTTAGTACCACCAAAGAAAGTCCAAGGGGGCTTCAGAAAGTTCAGGGAGGAATTAAATTAAAAGATAACGGAAGTTTTCCACAAACTTTGTGAAGCCCTCTCGTATTTCGGAAACTCTTAGTTGAGAGGAAGAATGCAAGGCATGCGCCTTATTTCAGGACACACAGTTGTCCCATCTTCCAGAATATGTGGTCAGATTCACCCAGAGGGGCCTGTACTGACTGAGCAGGGGGCCCAGCTCTGCCTCCATGTACAGGCTGCTGTCCCCAAGTTGCTGACACAGCCAGTCCTCCCTGGCAGAGGCCCAGAGGCGGCCCCGGGCTGGGGAGGCTTCACCCTCTCAGTGGCACCGAGAAAAGCCACCTCTCTCCCATCTCTTCTCATTCGCACACTCTCAAACTGATAGGGGGTCTCTGCTGACCATCCTGGACCAGGAGCTAAAACCCCTCTGACTGAGAGTTCTGTGTGAATTGGAAGCCCATTTCCTCAGGAAGGACCCCAGGTTCTGTAGTCTGTGTGAAGAGCTGGTTTCTGTGTGAACTGGAAGCCCATGTCCTCAGAAAGGACCCCGGGTTCTATGTGTGTGGAGAGCTGGTTTCTCCGGCCAGGTGTTGATCAGCACTTCTTTCAGAAAACAAAAGGGCAGAGGGAGGGGCACACCGCAATGCCCACTGCTTCCTTTTTGTTGTTGTTATGCTCATAAACTATATAAATGAGCAACACTGAAGCATTCAGCTGCTAACCAAAGTACTGACTGTTGGAACCCACTCAGCTGCTCCATAGGAACATCTGACCCTGTAAAGATTACAGCCTAGAAACCCTATGGGACAATTCCATTCGGCCGCATGGGGGTGCCATGCATCCGAACTACTGGAAGGCCCCTAACAACAGCAGTAAAATAGATACGATATAAAACTGAAACTTTTTTTTTTAAGTGAGCACTTAACATTTTGAAGTGTCCAATTCAGTGGTCACAATGATAGTCACAGTTTTTGTTTTCATCACCACGTTTTTGTTTTCAAAACTTTTTCTCCACCCCAAACAGAAATTCTGGGCCCATTTGGCAATGTCTCTATTTGCTTCCATTCTGACCTTGGTGGTCATAGCCCTGTGTGGTGGGGGATTTACAGTGTCGCTAAGGATTTCAAACCCACGTGGAGCCCACAGGTTTGTCTAGAGCAGATCTCAGAAGACAGAGACCTCCCTCTTTGATTTGCTGACCCTTCTCCCTTTATTTTACTTCAGGCAGCAGAAAGAGACAATCAAAACCTGGAAGACAAGGTGCAGTCTCTAAAGACGGACATTGAGGAGAGCAAATACCGACAGCGCCACCTGAAGGTGGAATTGAAGAACTTTCTGGAAGTGCTGGACGGGAAGATCGATGACCTCCACGACTTCCGCCGGGGCCTCTCCAAGCTGGGCACGGACAACTAGGGCTGGGTCAAGGCCGGTGTGTGTGTGAGAGAGAGAGAGAAAGAGAACATTGGACTAGGCTGTCCTTCTGTTTGCGTTGCTTTTGTAAATGCAGGCGCAGTTTGTCGTGTTTCCAAACCAGTAGTGCCGTCCACTCAGCTCCTCTTCAGATTAGAAATCTCCTCGTGCTCTCTGGCCTTTTGAGGTTGTGGACAACTGGAAGATTCTGACTCAGGAATCCAGAACTACCTAGTCTATGAAGTCAGGGCAGGGACATTTATATCTTTCTTAAGGGCTGTTGCAACCATATGAACTAAAGAAAAAAATAATTTTTTTCTAATCTAAATATGAATATTCTAGAACATCTTATACACCAGGCTATTTTGTTCCTTTTATTCGCTGGTGTTCGGAGTATTTAAATGTCTGCGAGGCCACCATCCTTGGAGGCATTAAGGTAGACTTGTTCAGAGAAAGTAAAGCTAGTTTCTGGTGGGTGTGTTTTCTGACACAGACTCACCTACATCTGCTGCCACCCCTCCAGACCAGTTTGTATGGTTACGACAATGTTCCTTTTCTTGGTTTTCATTTCTGAGCAGATGGCTGTGCTGTGGGAACAGCATGCAGGGTGGGTGCCAAGCGCAGTGCCTGGCACAAGTAGGTACTTAATAAATCATTGTTCAATTAAACATCCCAACAGAATTAAGTGTGTTCATCAAACCCCACAGCAGAGTTCATCCCGTGAAGGGTGCGCCATCTTGGTTGGGCGGGATCGTTAGCAGCACACATTAGACTCAGAAGGGGAGCAGTGGAGGAGCTGGTCTGAGGCCCCCAGAACCCAGCCCAGGGTGCTGTCCCCATAGGGGTCTCAGATACTGGGACCGCCCTTCTGTGATCTGGGGATTCCAGGACCCCTGACTGTCTATGGTTTGGGGACTGCTGGGGGCTTAGTATGTAAGGTGGGATTCTAGGTTGGGTTTGTACGAAACCATACAGACCCACCATGAGGGAGAGAGAGGTCCACTGGCTGATGGTGGTCCTTAGGACAGAGGAGTTCTGCCCAGATCAGCCTCTGCCCAGCTCAGTGCCTGCTGGGGAAGGGACTGGAATCCCTTACGGAGCCCCACCCCCTTACGGAGTCCCTCCCCCTTACGGAGTCCCTCCCCCTTACGGAGTCCCTCCCCCTTACGGAGTCCCTCCCCCTTACGGAGCGCTGCTGGCATCCTCTACTGGGGGAGACTGGCCAGTACATGGTGGATTTCACACCTCTGACCCCACACATTTCTAAATGCTTCCTGGGGCCCTTGGATGTACACTTATCCCTTTGAGGACCTCTTAAAAGAATTCCCCCCGCTAGATTATGTTCCCCACTGGTTAGAATTTCTCTTTCTGAATTTGGATTCTGGGCACACAGCCTGAGAAGGAGCTCGGGACATGCCCGGATGTGACCCGAGTCTCAAGGTGAGTCTTGGGACCTGCGGCTCCTTTTCACCAAGCTGAGACGCTCTGTCTCTGAGCAGCGAGGTCTTGTTTGAATGGGAAGGCTTTTGGTCTATAGTACCAAGACTCTTTGGGGGAGCCCCCATGGGTGGTGTGGGGTCACACGGGGTCTTTCGTTGAGTTCATGGGGCCCTTGGGGCATGTAGCAAAGGGAGAAGAACAGACAGGAAATGAAAAGTGCTGATTGTTGTGGGTTGGAGCCGGCCCTGCCCTTTCCCCGAGTTCCAGGTGCTTCTCGTGGCCATCTGCCATCTGTAGTAGTTCCCTACTCTCCACTAGAGGACCCTGGAGAGCTGGGCTGGCAGCGAGTCAGCCACCACCATTGACTTACTAGAGCTTGTTCAGGTGACGTATTCATAGGAGGGCAGGGTCCTCTGCTGCATCCCAGTAGCACTGGAAGTGATGGAGATATTGTCGTGCTTGGCTACTGTGTCCCTGTGTGATTGAGACCCATGAGCTATCTCATCACCGCTGAAGGGTTTGCAAGCACCTTAGAGGTAGGAGGTGAGTAATGCAGACAGATTCCCCTTCTATGTGGCCGCCTCTAGCTCTAAGTCTATTGCTGTCAAGGAGCTAGGTGAGGTTGGAATTCCTGGGTGATGCAAACAGTTTATGCACTGAGCTGCTAACTGAAAGGTTGGAGGTTCAGGTTCACCCAGAGGCACCTTGGAAGAAAGGTCTGGTAATCTACTTCTGAAATATCAGCCACTGGAAACCCTGTAGAACACAGTTCTACTCGGACACACAGACTTTCCATGAATCAGAATGGCAGCTGGTTTTTAAGTTCGGTTCGTTAGTGATAGCATAACTTCCCTATAGCACTGAACTTTTCATTCCTTCTCTGAAGATCTTAATGTTTCTTTATCCATTTTAAAACAAAAGCAAAAAAAACAAAAAATAGTGGCCTGGGAACAACTTGGTGGAGACTTGTGGACAGTCAGTCAAAGGACTGGCCAGTTCTGGCAGTGAAGGGTGGACTCAAAAAGCTGATGACTTGAGCCAGATTATGCAGCATGTCTCCTGTGAGTCCAGCTGCAGTCCCTGCGTAATGTCCTCGGACTACCACTCTCTGAGGTCAAGTTGCAGTCAGGGTATGATCCTTCCACTCGTGAGCTTCAAGCCACAATGAGCTGCCTGGGAGGTGGGGAGCTAGGACCCTGTATTTTCTGAGATCTACCAATTTTGACATTTCTTTCAACACTAGCTGCTTGTTCCTTGATCATCTTGTTTTCTCCATCTGTGGCATCTGGGGCCTGAAGGAGGCAGAGCAAATCTTGGAACCTTTTAGCCAAGATAATCCTGAAATATATCCATTTTCATTATAATAAAGACCAGACTAAAGTACACACTTAAAAGTTGAGACTGGTGAGCAGAGATGAAGTCGTCCTAATGCCTAGGGCATGTAAAACCACCAGACAGACAGGTGGAGACAAGTGGGAAAGGGCAGTTACCATCCCACAGACTACGTGGGGCACCTCATGTTCATGCTCTCCTTCATTGGGCGGAAGAGTTAGGCAGGTAGACAGCACATGGGGAGAAAGGAAGGGAGTCCCCCCGCTAGTGACCAGCAGCATGGGTCCCACATTGAGGTCTCCTGAAGCTGGTCCAGCGTCCTTGAGTCATGCTGCCCTCCTCCCCTTGTTGGCCCTTCGATGACAAGAAGAAGACCAAACTACCGTCATTTTATTATTTTAGCATACGTCCACAGCAAACACAGCTTACAGATGAACTATCAGAATTACATCTTCATTCCTTACAAAGAGTGAGTTCCACTTTTGAATACTTCTGGGTTTTCGGGGCTCGTTCCAGGAGAGTGTTGGTTAAAATGATGTCTGTGTTCCAGAAGACACGTTCTGTGACACTGCACTGATGGCTTTAGTGGAGGCCAAGCCAAACCAAACCATGCCAACTGCCATCGAGTCAGTTCCAACTCATAGCAACCCTACAGAGCGTTTCCCAGACTGTCATTCTTAAGGAAGCAAACAGCCTCATCTTTCACCCACACAACAGCTGGTGGGTATGAACTGCTGATTTTGTGGTTTAGCAACCCAATGTCTAACCCACAGCACCACCGTTCAAATTAATGGGAGGGCCTGCGATGGCGGAGATGGACCCAGAGTTTTGGCCAGGGATTGCCTGTCCACTGCCCACCCCCTGCCCCTTATGGTGATGAGCCAGTACAAGGAGAGGGGAAGCGGACTTGACCGTAGATGGAGCAGATCGAATGGGGCCTCACCAGCACCCAGGAAGGCTGAGTCTCCAACCTTTTGGACCTTTGGTAGGCTAAAGCCAGCCCAGACTCTGAGTCTACTGCTTTGGGTGTGTGTGTGTGTGTGTGTTTTTAGGTAAAAGCTAGCATAATGTTGTGTGCATTTATTTAATAAATGTTTGAGCACCTCCATCTAGAATATGCATGGTTACCGTGATAGTTAAGATAAATGATAGAATATAGCAGTTCCTAATTGTGGTCGACTAGTTGACTACTCTGGTTACTCTGAGTTCTGGGTTTCACTCGAGCAAAGTATGATTAGAAATGTCCACATAATTCATAGGGGACCAAATGGCCTGTTTCTGTTACCCAGCATCTTGTATAAATGAAAAGCATGTACTGATAATACGCTGCCCAGAACCATCATGGTCCGCTTCTTCTTGAAAGATTCTTTTCCTAGAGACTTTCCTATGGAAAAGTCTCCTTTCCTATAGAAACCAGGGGCAACTTTGGATAAGAGCCAATTGTGTGCCAGGGACCTTATAATGGGACTTCACTTGTGGCCTGGTGCCCCATGGAAGAAAGGAAGATGGCATGGTGTGGGCAGTGACGACACTGGCACGAGGCTTCCTTTTACAAGGGAGCCAGCCACGGTTAGCAACTGAAAGAGTGTTATCCTTCTAGAAGGCACCATTTTTATTCACCTGACACTTCACTGGCTTTGGGAAGCACAGGCAATTTAAACTAGAACCTTGCAAATAAATGTCCATAAATATTTTAAGTGATATGCATGTTTTAAAGGGATTTCTGAGGATCTGGTTTCCTTCAAAGAAATATGATGTATTCGGGGGAGGGTGGGGAAGAGGCATGGAGTGGGGAAATTCTGAAGGGAAATGTATCGCTTTCATGTCTTTCCCAGACACCTGACTTAAGAATGTGGGGTTTCAGTTCCTCCTTAAACACTGGTCAGCCAGAAAAGGGACACATGGTAAGAATTTGGAGCTGCGCAGTGTTGTAGTGAATTTAGGAATCTGTGTGTGTGCCTCAGAAGAGGAGGAGGAAGCAGGAAAAGATAGGGACATTTTTCAATAAAAAATGATGTATATCTAAGAGGAGTCTTCATTTTCCTATTTCTGGTGGTGATGCTCTGGGTCCTGGAAGCGGTTTATGGAGAGAAGAGTCTCTGATGAGTGGGGAGTCTCTGATGCATTGCAGAGCACTCCCCTGTCTCTGATGAGTGGGGAGCCTAGACGGAGCATGGCCCCCCAGGCCACACCTGGCAGGAGCTTTTAGAAGCCACAGTGAAATTCAAACTGTTGTTATAAATACATTTTGGCAGATGATTGACAGGCCTGATGATCTGCAGCTGTGAGGAAGGCGGTGGTGTTTTTACCTATTGTACCATTTTTGGTGCAAATTCCTGACATTAGATAAATTGCTATAGCAATGTCTTATGGCATGACAGGCAGGAAGGCACTTGTTACACCAAATGTAAAACTTCAATGAGAAGACTTGGTCGACATTTTCTTTTTCAATTTCTGTTTGCTGCATAAGTAATATATGAGGGTAAGTCAAAAAGTCTTGCTCCTAGGAATATAGTACATACACTCACAGGTTTGTTCCAAATTAAACATGTTTAAACATGCCTCTGCGATCAGTGTATGGCTTCAGACAAGTTCTCTCAGGAATATACTTGTCTTAGTCTAGTTAAGATGGCTTCCAAAAAAAACCTCCAATC